TGCAGTGGCCATGATAACAAGCTGGTTGCTAGGTCAGTGGAAACCACCAGCACCACAGGGAGCAAAAACATGTTCACCCCCAGCCCCAGCCTTAAAGCAGCCACAAATGCAAAGACATCACAGCCAAACATTGTCACACAAACACCTTTCAGCGCCAAAAATTTTGTTCCAAAGTCCCCAAGGTTGCCCATGTCATTAAATATCAGTCAGGCAAGGCTAAGTGGAAAGGAAGGAGCTGAATCGAAGGAGGTGGACAGATCAGTGCAGGAGCTGTCCCTCACTGAAAAATAAAACCCCCCTAGCCATTCCAGTCAAGCCTCCTGCTAGCAGCAGCAAACATCCGCCATCTGTTGATAAAACATCAGTGTACACATCCACCAGCCAGTCACACCCGACCATTCCTCCAGGATATTTGGGACCTGGTGCCAGGGGCCAGGAGGACCGAAACCAGACCCCCAAACGCGCCAGTATTGTGATGGAGACATGCTCATCAGAGATACCTTCTGCAGCTATCTACCACACCTTGCCACTGGGCTTGTCGACCAGTCAGCCACAAATCTACTGTTTCTCACCAGCAATCACGCCCACTCCCACCCTGGACCCCTTCCAGGCCACTCAGAGGAAGATGCTCCTGGATCCCACTACCGGGGGCTACTACCTGGTGGACACTCAGGTGCAGCCGGCCACCAAGCGCCTGTTTGACCCAGAAACAGGCCAGTATGTTGATGTGCCCATGCCACAACCTCCCATGACCTCTGTGCCTGTGCCCATGTCACCTTTGGCCCTCAGTCCAGGAGTGTATGGGCACACCTACATGATCTACCCGGGCTTTGTGTCTACACCCTCAGTGATCCCGGCCCGGACGCTGGTGCAGTCACAGATATCGGTGCAGTCAAATGGGGATAGCAAGGAGAGAGCCTCATTGCAGCAGACTGAGGGTATGTGCATAGAGAGTCCCTTCTACATGGCCACGGGAAAGTCTCCCCAGGCGGCCTCCAGGGCTCAACAGCAGGCCTCCACCAACAGACTGCCACAGGGCCTCTCCAGCATCAGACAGCCTGTCATTGGCATCACCTCCCAGCAGGGGCCCCGAATCATCGCCCCGGTGTCATATGATGGGACCACCATGAGCTTCGTGGTGGAACACAGATGATCGGCAGCTACCTGGACAGGTGAGTTTGCTTTTTGTAAAAACAAATCTATTAAAACCACAGATTACATTTCTTACAATACAATGATTGCAATCAGAAGATAAAAATCTTTTAGTATAATAGTGAAATAAGACAATACCATTTCTTTCCAGCTTCCTGGTTTTTTCCCATTCTGTTTTGTATATCATATAATGACTTTCATTACGGTGGACTCACATTTATGCACTTCATGAGCAGAGCTTTCCACAAGGACAGCTCAACATGTAGACCAAATTTGTGGGGTTGCAATTTTTAAATTGACCATAAGAAAATATTTTACCAGTTAATGGATGTTTCATACAGAAGCACAGTGCGTTCAGCAAAGAAAAACATGGTAAATGTTTTCTTACTCATAATTATGACTCACTATCTTATAATTAGGAGGTTCCAGATGTTATGATTACAAGGTCGCATAATTATGACTTTTAACTCAGATTTAAGAGAAAACATATGACTGATTAGAACACATCAGAACTTGTCTGACAATCAGCAGGTTCTACAGATTTCTTTAGTTGTATATATATATATATCCAATACATCCAAATACATAGCAAATATGAACTGTTAACAGCTAATTTGGCATATTTAGTGTTTGAAAATGTTAACAAATATAGGCTAAAAACATGGCCCAGTTGCAGCCTACAGTGTACAGCAACTCATTGCAGCCATGGTATCATTGCACTTCCTGTTTCTGGTCAAAGTTTCATCTGTTCATGTGGGTGAAGACTTTTAACATTATAGGGAATAACCAGTTTCCTAGTGTCATGTCAGCTGGATGAGAAGGTTTAACATGCATGAATGAAAAAGGAAGAGACATGATGTGAAGTTTGCAAATAAGCTCCTCAGCAGGTACAAACCCACCTGCGAGTGTCAATACGGAGGATTATACTGATATACAATAAAGTAGTTCTTCGAGGAATAGGTGTTCGGTCGTGTGTGTGTGTGTGTGACACAGTGTAGGAGTGAAAGGTCAGGCGATGACAGGCGTTTGTTAGGTGTATACACGGAGTGCTTCAGCTGCTGCTGGGCATCAGCAGGCTGCCTGGCAGGTCACACCCGCAGCAGGGGTAGCTGGCTTTTTATAGGTCAAGTCATTTAAAGACAGACAGAGTGAGAAGCCAGGTTCACATGGCCCCTCATCAGCAATTACATAAACACAGCATGCAACATAGTAGCAAATAGCCTCAGCTGCACCGTGGCATTTGGAGTTCCCCTTCTCATCTGAGAATGAGACCCACATACCTGAGGGCACAGTTAAATTTATAAAGTACACAGATAGTCAGATAGTCTAGAGGTTGGATAAATGTTTTTTTTTGGGAGGAAGTTTCAGTAGTTTAAATCAGATTTTTGTCATTTTTTTCTTTGAGCATAGCAATGAATGTTCATGTTTTTCAGTTAAAGATACCCAAGTGCCCAGTTCAGGCTCTAAGGACCAACAGGGCTTTTTAAAGATGCCAACAGATTCTAAATATAATTAGGCCAAAAGAAAACTAAATCAAAACAGGAGCTCTCCTGGTATCCCCCACCGCCACCGGTGCTCTTGAAGGGAAATAAACAATATACTAATAGACGGAAAAGACAAAGTGCATCCACATCCATGGGTAGGATGTGACACAAAAAAATCCAATTCACTTAAATGGATGGTTGGTTATTTATTAAAAGGCCTTTAATAAATATAGTCTAACACAATAGAGGTTAAAGATAGCAAGATAGGCTAAGGAAGGCTAGTGTACCGATACCTGTTGGTGGATTTTTAAGCAGTCTAACACCCAAAGACAGGGAAATTGTTATGCATGTTTTCATCCTAAATGGCCCAAATACATTGAAGTTGATAATAACTGATCTGTGAGGCTAAAATCTAACTGGTAAAAAGCATTGGAAGTGTTTTTGGATACATTTACTATGCATCTCACACCCGTCTCACTCTGCAGATAGAATTCCATTACTGTACATCAAATGAGTGAATCCACACTGAATCAGGGAGACTCTCGTCTCCTGTAGAACCCTCCCGTTCTTTTAGACTCCATGGCTGTTTTTCCTTCTGCTGTGTTTAATGAAGTGTAATCTCCACAGTCGGCAGTTTAAATCACACAAACCTTGTTTTCTGTTTCTACTGGAATCTGTTATTGTATAATTTTGACCAAAATATGAAATATGTATGTCTGAATGTGAGTATAAACTCAGTCATAACAGTAGTCATCGGCCTTGTGAGCATTGAAAGAGGAAGACTTTGGATTACTCCACACCCCTGGTTAGTAAGGTTCTTGCATCAACATTTATGAGAAATGTTTTGACACACCAGTCGTTGTCTGACAGTCAAGCTATACAGGACACCAGGGAACAGTTTGTTCACTGAGGACACACACTCAGAGAGAAGGATACTAAGCCTACAATCTTCACTGGGTGAGAACAAATCAGAAGATATGGGAACTTCTGGAATACTATTACCATTGATTGCCGAAAGAGACTTTTAGAAGAGCAACAACTCAAAGTGAAACCAAACGCTCAAAGTGATTTACTGCCTGCTGTGTTTTAAGCCTCAGAAATGGCTGCCCAGCTCGCTCTAGCAGAGCTGGATTTCTCTTGTCCAATCTGTCAAGATGTCTTCAAAAATCCTGTGGTGCTGTCATGTAGCCACAGCTTCTGCAAAGCCTGTCTGCAGACCTGGTGGGCAGACAAATGTATTCATGAATGCCCAGTTTGTAAAAGGAGATCTTCCAGGACTGAGCCACCGTGTAACTTGGCATTAAAGAACCTATGCGAAGCCTTCTTACAGGAACTTTCTCTAGAAGATAAAGACTCTGCCAAATCTGAGGCCCTCTGCTCTCTGCACTCTGAGAAACTAAAGCTCTTCTGTCTGGACCATCAGCAGCCAGTGTGCCTTGTCTGCCGGGATTCAAAAACACACACCAACCACAGATTCAGACCCATCATTGAAGCAGCACAGGATTTGACAGAGCAGCTCCGGAGATCCCTAAAGCCCTTACAGGACAAACTGGAGCACTTTAATCAAGTTAAAGCTAACTGGGATCAAACAGCAAAACACATTTTGGCCCAGAGGCAACGCACAGAGAAGGTGATCGAGGAAGAGTTTAGGAAGTTTCACCAGTTTCTACAAAATGAGAAGGAGGCCAGGATCACTGCACTGAGGAATGAAGAGGATCAGAAGAGTCAGATGGTGAAGGAGAAGATCAAAGCTCTGAGTGAAAACATAGCAGCTCTGACAGAAACAATCAGAGCTACAGAGACAGTACTGAAAGCAGCAGATGTCTCATTCCTGCACAGCTACGAAGCTGCAGTGAAAAGAGTCCAGCAGCACCCCCTGCTGGATGGGCCACAGCTGGCTTCAGGAGGCCTGCTTGATGTGGCTAAACATGTGGGTAACCTGGCTTTCAACATCTGGAACAAGATGAAGAACATGGTTACATATTCTCCGGTGATTCTGGATCCAAACACTGCTTCCCCTTTTCTCATGTTGTCTGCAAATCTAACTCATGTGAGAAATATAAAGACAGAACGAGAGAGACAGCTTCCCAGAAACCCAGAAAGATTTGAAGACTACCCCACAGCCCTGGGATCTGAGGGCTTTAACTCAGGGACTCACAGCTGGGATGTTGATGTTAACAGAAATGAAAATTGGGCAGTGGGTGTGATAGGAGAGTCTGTCCCAAGGCAGGCAGAGATTCTGAGTGGATACTGGGAGATATGGTTCATTGATGGTAAATACAAAGCCTACTCTCCGCCACGTACAGACAGATATCTCTCAGTGGGGCAACCAATCCAGAGAATCAGAGTGCATCTGGACTGGGACAGAGGAAAACTGTCTTTCCTTGATCTGGATACTAACAAAAACCTTTACACCTTCTCACAGAAGTTCACAGAGAGGCTGTTTCCATTTCTCAACACTTTAAACACACTGAAGATATTACCAGTGAGAGTCACTGCTCAGTTAGAGATGTAGATGGTGATGGTTATGATGGATGCAGTCATATTGTAATTAATTTAGTTACTAAAGTTTTGACAGTTTGTTATGAAATTCCACTGCTGACAATATTGAATGACTGTAAATACATAGTGTACTCTCCACCAGTTACTGTGCATAAAAACCTGTCTCACCAAAGAAGCCATTGTAGAAGATCAGAGTGCATCTGGACTGGAACAGAGAAAAGCTGTTGTTTTCTGATACATACTGTACTTTCACACACACACGTTCACTGTGTCAAAGAGAGCGGAGACAGCGGTGATAGCTGTATATGGTGGATGAGGCCATTTGAAGGGACAAGGGTGATCATAAATCACACTAAGGGGAAAACCTGGGCATGGCCGCAAACAAGACGCCACCAGAACACCTGGAAAAAATACAATCAAAGTCTGAAACCAGGATGCAGCAACAGTAGCATCAGGCTGAGGAGGAAATCTTGTAAATGTTTTCTTAACTTTTGCAATACTGAAACATTATGAGTGTTTAAGCATGATTTTCTATATGTGATTTGCTAATGAGATATATTGTTTTATGGATTAGTGTTACTGTCAAAGCTTGAGGAAGTGATGATGATGATGACGATGATGATGCAATGTCTGGAAATGATTGGTGACTGTTTTATGCAATGACTGATATTTAATAGGTTGATTTAATCACTTATGCTAATGAGTGATTATGATGGTGGTTTGATGAAAAGTAATTGTGTTTTTGCCAGTTGATTAAAACAAAAAATGAATGCGTGACTGGTGTGTGTCAGAATCGGCCATGTAAAAAGGGGAAGGAAACAATCAACTGAAAAATACACAGTCCTCCAAATGAGGAAGTGCAAAGAGAGGCAACAGGAGTGTGACCTCGGTAAAAAATATTTGCATTTACAGGAAAATGTGCACTAATCTATCACAGTCTGTCCACGCTCAAGCAGGAGGCTATCATGCCATGAGCTTAGGCAATTGGAAGAACTCTCATAGTTGTGTATGGTTAAAAAAGGATAAGAAACCTAACATTTGAAGTTAAGGAGCTTTTTCCAGATGCTGGGGGAGACTCTCTCGCTCTGAATCATAGAATAAAGACCATGCTTGTATTGGGTGGAGAGGCAGACAGCTGTGAACATGAAGATCGGGACATAGAGCGTTAGGGCAGAGGAGCTGTAGCTCTGCCCTAGAAGATCTGGATTAATGGGCAATCCACCAGGACCTCTGATTATGGAAAGGAGTTTCCATCAACTCTCAGATCTGCTCCTACCCATGCAACTCCATACTCCTGATAATCATTTTCATTTTTTGGCCTTTCCCTCAAACACAATCAGTTTCTCTTCCTAAAATCCAAGGAGGTTGTGAGCACTGATTTAGTCAGAATAGGGCAAAGAATAGATATGTTGAAATGTGTGGTTGTTTTTTACCTGTATTATTTATGTTTAGCATTTGATTCATTTTAATGCTTTTATTGTTTTTGTTTTTCCACCCTGGTTCCATACACGAGAGGGTCAGAATATTAGGAACACCTCATAAATATAATGTAGTCCAGTACAACACCACCTTTAACTATGACCTCAGTAACTGAATTTATACATTTATGACAATTTCTCCAAACATTTTGAGTTGTATGTATCAATCATTTAGTGTATCAAGTGATTATTTTTACACTAATGTGAGAAAAACACTCCAGGTTTCTTTATGGGAAAATGTCACTCCCCAATCATTTCATGCACCAATCATACATTTGTCCAGGTTTTCTCTAATGAAAGTACCGCTGGTAGAAAAGAATATTTGAGTTTCAGCTGTTAGTGTTTAAGATGTTTTCTTTGTTTCTCTACAGGCCTGAATTCTGAGTGGATGCTGGACTGCTCTGGATTCAAGTCTTTTCGTTGTGTTACATACTGTAAGTTTATTTTATTGGCTGGTTGGCGGTGGTTCAGTGCCTTTGTATAAAGGAGTTCATTTACATCCTGCTTTACCTATTCTAATTTGTTGAAGGTGTGCATAAAGTATGTTTCTTGCTTTGTTGTGTCTTATCACATTGTAAAAATTTGAAAAACCTACTTAAAAAAGCCTGTTTGGACTTTTGCAGTGTCACAGAAATTGCTTAAAAATGCCCAAAGATCAGTGTTTTTCATTATGTGTTTTTACATATGAATCACTAAATTCATTAATGTAATGTGTGTCAGCCCTGTACAACAGAGGATATCCTAAAGATCTCTGACCCTGCACTTGTCGTGCATACAGTACATAGCAGAATAGTTCATTTATGAACAAGGCTGTAGTGTACACAGTTTGTGTTCCCTCATCACACTGATTTACTGGAATATAAAAACGTGATTATAGTTTCCCAAGCATCTTTAAAGAGGTTTAAAAGCAGTGCAGCTGCAGGATGCTACCCAGCAGGCAGGGCAAAGAAACACCTTTAGTATAACCCAACGTTTTATTCTGCAAATATGATGTACTTTTTAGCCCTATTTGGCACGTGTTTCTATCTGCATCTCTGATTCTCAGTGAATATAATGACACTGAGGTATGGTTCTGTACAAACAGTAGTAGCTCCCAGACTGTGGATCTGCTGGTCAGTCCACACTTTTTCAATTTGAAGCAATTGTTGGAAATACGTTACTTTACTGTCACTATAACCAACCACTAACTATGTTAGAATGGTTGCTGTATTTATCATAAAATACAATAAAGATCATAGTGAATTTATTTAAAAGTCTTATGAAAGGTGTTATATTATATTAGATAAGCCACACAAATTGTAAAGGTTTCGTTGACATTTTCATTTTGTTTCATTTATAATGCTATGCTGTGTTCACAGTTGTGGATTTAAATGACGTTTCGTCACTGATTCAGCTGTATTATAAATGTCTGGATTACAATATTACATCAAAAATGGACCTCTGGCATTTAGAATGAAAGGGGGCGATTTATTAGAGTGATTTAAAGTAATGCTGTATGTTATTGACAGTGAGCAGGGTTGGGGAAGTTACTTTAAACACCTAGTTTTGCAAGCTACAGTACCAATTACTTTACGCAAGAAGAAGTTGAACTACAACAAAACCATGCCATAAATCCAGCTTGGTTAAATAAAGCCAAACTACTTTGTAAAAGAATTAGTAAACTGGCAATGTACAGTACATTTGATACAAAATTATAACAAGATATAAAACAAAATCTCATCTGCCAAAAACTGCCTCTCAGCTGAGTTTATTACCTGAGGTTAAACCTGTCCTAAAAACAATCCCATCTGGATGCTTCATGAGGACAACTTTGCAAGCTACAATACCATTTTTGTTGTAAACAAATCTGAATTTTGTACTATGTGACTACATCTAAAGCAGTAATAATAAATAAATAACTTGCAGTTTGGCTGACTTGAGCACTGGTCTGAAAAATAGGCCTGTTGTACTTGTCAGTTTTGTAACATCTGACTTGTACAATCTTAAAGTGTTGAAAGAAGTACTCAGATCCTTTGCTTGTGTAAACGTAGTAACAAAACAATGTAAAAATATTAACATTGTAAAAGTTATAATGGTGCTTAAGTAAAAGTACACAAGTATCTGCATCAAATATGCTTAAAGTACTAACAGTAAAAGTACTTATTATGTAGAATGGCACATCTCACATTATTACACTATAATTTTACTTGGCAGAGCAGAGTCTCTTGTTTATACGACATGTGCGTGGTTTTTGGTTCTGTTTGGCACTGAAAATGTCTATGCCAACGCTGAAGAGCTGCTCACATGCAGCATAAAAAAAAAGAAAAAAAAGAATTGCTTTCCTTTTATGGCCCAGAATTATTTGTATTTTCAGTAGTTAACCACACAAACTAATATCAAAAAAGCAATTTAATTTGAATCATTATGCAAATTTGAGAGCACAGATTGATAATTGGTGTCAGGAAGAGAGTACTGTAGCGCATGTCCGCTCCTCTGTGCTGCATACTGTGGAACAGAGGGATCATAAGCCACTCAGTCTAAGTTAGTCACCCTACAAGTGTGTTTTGATCATTAAAGTGTGATATAAATGTTATCAAATGGAGGCCAGGGGGTGTGTTTGAAGAAATTGTCAGGTCTGGCGTGTAAGGATGCCAAACGGTGTTTGTGGTGGACTCAATTATAAAACCAGACGAACTGATTTAGTGAAAGGTTTTTACTTGTTGCAACTAGACAACCAATACACAGTCCAGGATAAGCAGGTCAATAAGACAGTCCAGGGTCAGCACCAGTAAACAGGTATAGCCAGGAGATCCAAACTCGAGAGGTCAAGGGGAATAACTCAGAAGGTCGGTACACTGCAGGCAATCAGAAACTGGAAGGGCATAGGCAAAACACGGTGGTCAAAAACAGTAATCCAAGGTCAGACACAGAGAGTCAGGCAAGGTATGAAAGCTGGAGAGTCAGAGCTGGAGTCTAGAACAATCTGGCAGCGTCCTTGTAGGAGGATGCTGCCTAAATACAGGTGAAAAACAGGTGTAAACAATAAGGAGCAGGTGAAACTAATGCGAGTGATGAAGAAAGTAAAAAGACCAAAACTGTGGTGAAACAAAACAGGAAGTGGCATCAAAATAAAAGCCTGACAGGAAGCAGTGGCACCGAATCATGACAGAAATAACTTTTGCTTTAATAACCAAAGAGAAATTATACTGAAATTCTAATTAACATGCTTTGCTTCACTTGTTTTTACAGTAAGTACAGCATATGTGATATGATAATTTTATATACCAGTTATTAGATTGTACTTTTACCTGCTGATATGACAGATACTGCATCACATCACTTAAAAACAGTTTTGTATAAGAATTACAACTCCTTGCTTTTATTCTGAATGCCAAAGACACTTTTAGAAGCCATGCATATTTTTCCTTTCCTGGTCAATAGCTATATTTATTGGTACTCCTTTATTTTACTATATAGGTTTTGCAGGAAACATGACAGAGCTTTTTTTTTTAAACACGTTTCAATGATGTGAGCACAGTTAATGAAGTTCCATTCACTTCCACTGCCTTAGACTAGAAGCAGAAGTGTGAGCAACAGCTGCCTCAGCACCCATGAAGCCTAAACTATCTGTGTGGCTACATACTGTATTACTAGAAGTTAGTCAGTGTAATGTTTTTTTTGTAACTTGGATGAATGGACCCTTTACTGTATGTACACTTTGAAATGTGGGATCCTCACTGTGGTATGGGGGCGGCTGTGGCTCAGAGGTAGAAGGGGTCAACCTCTGATTGGTTGGCTAGCGCCTTGTATGGCAGGCCCGCCCGTCGGGA